ATCAATTAAATTTTTATTTTCTTGTCTAAAGGGGGCTCATATTATTTATTTTCAATAATCTTGCCCAGTTCTCTGTTGATGTTCTATCTATTCACTCACACAGCAATAGAATGGAGGGAGGTCATTCTCTAGATTATGACAGCCAAATCTAATTAACCATTTTTCCTTCTAAGGGTGAACATTACAACTTTTCCATAAAAATTAATGCCATTAACCAAGAAATGTGAGAAAAATAATCAAATACATGTACTTTTGTTGAAGAGTAAAGTCTTGAGCTAATACTAATGGGAAAGAACTCGGGAAAACTTCATTACTGTAAAGTGTGAGCCCATTGGTGCAAGTTCCTAATTCTACATTAATACAAGAGAATCTCCGAGCCAAATGCTTTTCCTTCCATAACAAGAACACTAACCCATTCCTCCAGTCAGTGACTTAAATCTCTTGCATACCCAAAATTAGTTTTCAAAATTTGGAATATATATTTTTGTGAGGGTTTTTTTTTTCTTTTCTTTCACGGATTGCTTCCCATATAGTATATTGGTTTTAATGGCTTCCTCTGAACATGTGAGCACAACATTAATGCTCATTAAACAATGGCACCTTGTATACACATCAGGAGGTAGTAGCCTACTTCCAAGCTCTGTAGCATCGTGGTCCTGTAAGATACACTAAAGTGGGTGGTATTACAGAAAGGTAGACAGATCTAATGATGCCTAATAATCTGAACGTTCTAGCTGCAATGCAAAACACAGTGGGAAAAATATAATTTTTTGGAACCGATTTATTTCCACCATAAATTTACCCATGATCAGAATCTGATTTTGTGTCTGGATTTGAGACTTTTTGGCCGAATATCGAATGCAGACCAATCTGAACTGCATACGGACAGGTGAACCTTTGCAAAAAGTAGAATAAAACGTGCTTTTGGAATAAAGAGTGGTTTCGATATGAAAATGATGGCTCTGTTAAGCACAACTCCAACTTTTACATTTTTCTGCTTATGCTCAAGCTAAATAACCAACGAAAAACGATGTTTCTAACACAACTAGGTATTAGGTTAACCAGAAATCTCCTGAAAGTCAATTTATTAGGATGTGTTCAGAAACAACCCTCAAAATGCGTTTTCAACAAGGTTTTTCAACACAAAAAGTCAAAGTTGTGCAATAGCGACAGGTAAAAACTATTGCTGCTCTTAAAAGAAACTTAAAAAGGCCAAGGTGATTGGTTGTATTTGCAGGTACTAGTTAAAATAAAGCAATTATCCTGTTTGCAAAAAAAATTGTTAATAAAGCCAGGAATGTGACAATGTTTTGCTTCAACAATTTCATTTTTAAAGTTTGTTCTGCTAGCTTTTAGATATTTAGATAAATATAACATTCTCCATTTTCTTCACCACAATTAAGAATAAAAGACAATGGAAAAGGATACTGATTATCAATGATATTCTTATAAAAATTTTCAAAGACGATGGAAAATTTCTACTAATTATTCTTACAAAATTTAAAAAGACAAATGGAAAAATTATTCTGATTATTCTTTAAAAAAAATTTCCAAAAGATAAACTTGCCAGTGCCCTTCTGTTTCTTTTCCAACTCTCCATCCTCCTCTTGGAATCCATGGGATTTAAATCTGCAATGAATAAATAATTATATTAAGTTAATATGTTACCATATATACATGTAGATCTAATTGCAAACAATATAGACCCTGATTCTACTATCACATAATGCACCAACAGACAGGAAACCAGGGTCAATATTTTCTGCTCATTATTCCTAACAAAATGCATAGACCCAGATAGCACATTATTTGATAGCAGATCTGGGTCTGTGCAGTATGTGGTTAGAATCATCTTATAAGCTATAATATATCATTAATAGGTCTGGGTCATGCTCCTTGAATTTGTGTTAATTGTGATAATGGTCAATAATTTGATGATAGAAAGATTGATGGATGACTGGACTGACAAGGGTAACACATCAAGCAATGTCCTTTGCAACATGATTGCCCTGAATCTCATTCATACCCTCATTCTTGTGAAAAGTACAATATTGTGTAATTAGTGCAAGATTTGGGTAGCAATATGTGTATACTGAGTGCTACTATGCACTATACTGACCATCTTCTACCTTGAGAGATTGTGAGGTGTTAACAATATTTTGCATCTCTGATATCAAATGTTCAATTCCTTAAATCTGCTTGCAATGTTAAATGGTTTTTACTCCAAGGAAGGTGTTTTCCTGTAGGTTTTCTGGTTTTCTTCCAGCTAGAGCACCTAATGCCCCGAGAAAAGGTGTTTTTTTTTTATCTAAACCATCAAGATTACTTCAAGATATTTTAAACTGTACATCTAGATTTATACTCTAGTCCCACACCTTTCAGCAATACTGTACATATATAGGTCAGCCATGATAAGGCAGACCAAGGTGCAATGATAGATAAACATCTATATTGTCCATGGTTCTATCCATATCAATCATGAATTATTAGCCATGTTATTGGACTGAAATCATTGTAATTTCTGATGTTGCTTGACCTTGTGATGAAGAACCTTTTATAACAGTCCCTGATGCTGGACCTGATGGGAAAGGACACCTTTTCAAAAGTCCCTGATGCCTGACATTATAAAGGACCAATTTCAATAGTCCACGATGCTTGACCTTGTCACAAAGAACACCTTTTCAATAGTCCTTGATGTAAAGGGCCCATTTTAACAGTCCCTGAAGCTTGGCCTTGTGATAAAAGACACTTTTTGAATAGTCTCTGATTCCTGACCTTGTGGGAAAGGACACCATTTCAAAAGTCCTTGATGCCTGACCTTGTTATAAAGGACCCATTTCAATAGTTTATGATGCTCGACCTTGTCACAAAGAACTTCTTTTCAATAGACCATGATGCTTGTCCTTGTTGTAAAGGACCCATTTCAACAGTCCCTGAAGCTTGGCCTTGTGATAAAGGACACCTTTTCAACAGTCCCTGATGCCTGACCTTGTAGTAAAGGACACCTTTCAATAGCCCCTTTCTGACTAAAGAAACAGTTATGGTAGTAGTTTCTCAGTTCATTCAAAGCATCAGGACTATATAAAACTTTAAAACTATGTGTTTAAAAAAAGAAGTCATCTGTTATATTTCAAAGTGATAACACAGCTCAAGAATTACCATGTTACTCTGACTTCAAGTTAGCATCTGATCTCACCAAGTTGGTAAGCTTACCATAAGATTATGGTAATGTCTCCAATTTCTGACACTTTATTATTTCTTTCAAACATATAAATAATGAAAAAACTTAATTTCAATTTTCAGCTCCTTCTTTTGTACAAGAATTACAAAACTCGCCAAAAGATAAATATTTTAAGAGTAAATTAAAGTACAAAAGATAATTTTTTGTTTAGAGGAATCATATACAAATTAGAAGGTACAAAAAGTACAGATAATATATTAAACTTTTGTATTTCTTTTTACTGTCAATAACAAAATCATTATCATAGTTTCTTGAGATAGTTTTTTTCTTTTATAGTTTTTTGTATTCTGTCATTATAACAAAATCACTATCATAATTGCTCAATATATCTACCACACTTTTATAGCTTTTTTTCACTATCATTATAACAAAATCATTATCATATTTGCTTGACAGTCATACAAATAACATTTTCACCATATATACTTCCTTATAAAATGAGTCCAACTGCAAACTACACTGACCCAGATCTACTGGAACATTATGTGGTGGCAGATCTGGCTCTATAACTGGTTAGAAGTATTCAGTAGAAAAAAAAACACAAACCCTAATATGCAGGTGCATAATGCTATGGTAAATGAGGTTCTTTGTTGTTGCCATCTAACTTGACTTGACCAGCTATATAGTAGCTGGTTCCCTCAGGAAAACTGGTACTTTAACCATAGCAGTTTTATCAAGTAAACTAATGATTATCAGCCAAGGGGATGAAAAAACCTCAACCTATTCTTAAACTTTAAATGGATAAGAAGTCTCAATCTTTGATTGGAGCCGGGCATAAAGTGTGAGTGCCAAGTGGACCACTTTTGGTAAGTAGAACTGGTACTGTGGGATGAACCAAATGCCTGGTTAAAGGTATTGGTTGACACAGACAGCAGGACAGTGGATATGGAAGTCAGAATCTGCTAAGGGGTGTGTAACAACTCACAAGCAGAATAAACTAGCCCTGAAAATGGATGGCACTATAGCGTCAAGTTTATCCCAGCCTATAGGTCAAGTCCATCTTCAAGCTGCATAGACCAAGATCCGCTGGCATATAATGTGCAGTTTGTTAGGAATAATCAGTAGAACAAACAACAGAGACACTGATCTGCAGGTGCACTATTCTACAGCAGATCAGGATCTTTGTTGTCTGCAGTCTACAGCATGTATATAAACCCACAAGTGCTCTTCTATTATGCTGTAAATTGCAAACATGCAGAATGCTGTTTTTACAGGTGAATGTATTTCACCTTTAGAAGGGTGTAATGATCTACCCCATTTATCTCAGGCAGTAGACTTTCATCCCCAAATGTCAATGTACTGAATGTACATCAGACAAAAGAGCTGGCCTATGTGAGATCACCCACAAGCTATTAATCTCTAAGCTATAATTACAGTACTACCATAAGCAAAATATTAAAACAGTACTATGCAACTGGAACTATACAGTACTAACCTAAATAAAAATACAGCAATCACCTAACTAAAACTACTACATGTATATAGCACTCACCAAACTAATACTACAAATGAGCTTATATAACTAAAACAACAGATGAACTAACATAAAATTACATATAAAACTCAAATTACTAAAACAGTAAAAAAAAGTACTCAATAACTAAAACAAGAAAACAGTACCACTATTCATACAACTATATCTTTCCAAGTAAAAGAAATCAATAAACTATTTTACCTTAACACATATTAAACATATCATGCAAAGAAAATGGGAACAATGTGCTATTCCCAAGGACACACCAATGCAATCAACCCATGCTGGTCTGTACAGGTATCAAACCCATTGATCTTTGGATTACAAATCCAACACTCCACCAACTGAGCTATCTTGGCTCCCTGATAGACTGCCACACATGGTTTACAGACCCTACTAGACAAGCTGGATGAAACATAAAAGTCCTTTTCGATTAAAATTACAAAATGAGTTCTTTTTAATAACTACCAATATAACATTTTGCAAATCATCTGCTGTAATAATTTTCAAAGCCATCTTTCCTCCATTTCATTATTTTCATTATTTTATTATCAAAACAGTGATACTGAAATAAAATTATTGTAACATAGTACATGTCATAATCTGCTTCATTACATCATGGGCATGATACATGCATGGGATACCTTGTATATTTACTGTATCTAGGACATGGGCATGATACATGCATGGGATACCTTGTATATTTACTGTATCTAGGACATGGGCATGATATATGCTTGGGATACCTTGTATATTGATCTGGGAAAATCCTGTAAATCTCAACCTTTTATAATGTGAAATTTAATTCATTAAGATTTTATAAATTCTAATGTATATACTTGCCTATAATTCAAACTGCAAACATAGATCCTGTTCTGCTGTAGCATAATGCATCTGCCGATCAGGGTCTATCTTGCTTTTTTTACTGAATACTCCTAATAAACTGCACAAACACAGATTGCCAGCACAGTTCTAGGTCTATACATTTTGAGATGGACACATAGGTGACTATATGGAACAGAACTAATCGCCATGAACATATTTCATTTCCAATCAAATTCAAACTAATCAACTGCTTCACTGAATATAGTGTAGATATGTCACAGAATCTTTTATTTGAATACCAAAACATTGTGATACAAAATGACCTGGTAAACAAGGCTTCACTGTACACTTAGAAGTGAATTCAGCTATGGATACTGGACTTTTCCAAATTGGGGAGGGAGATCAGACAAAAGATTACAGCTATATATATATATATATATATATATATATATATATATATATATATATATATATATATATATAGAGAGAGAGAGAGAGAGAGAGAGAGAGAGAGTGAGAGAGATATTAAGTCTGAGTGATATATATATATATATATATATATATATATATATATATATATATATATATATATATATATATATATATATATATATATATATATATATCTTAATGCTGAGTGCTAAGCAAGGCATTCTCCAATCATTTGAAGAACATTCTGTACAAGTAATCAAACTTGAAGTATAATTTATTATATTATCAAATATGATCTTTTATTGTCAGTTATTCTTCAGTTTTTAATGTGATTAATTAAATCATATAGACGAATGACAGCTCAAGTAAATGCAGTTTTCATTCCTGATCACAAGTTACAAATCTACATGGTAAAAACTAAATAAGGAACATGCTACCTGTAAGACACTTATGGGAGCAAATATGGTGTCTAGGTGTCTATATATCTGTGACTTGACATGTTTAAGGAAGTAAAATCAGTTTATCTATTTCTCCACTATTGACCTGGCATGACATAAGAAAAGCCAAGGAACAAAGAAAACAATTCAGTCATCCTGAAGCTCTCAATACCCATGTTAAACAGTGCAATTGAATGGAGTTGAATGAAATATGAAAGACTGATCAAATACATCTGTTGACTGTGACAGATCTTTCTGTAATAAGATATGACACAGATGGTAACCAATGTCAACTTATGTGCACTGATCACCATTTCAGTATTACCAGTTCTTATAAATCAATTGTAAAATATACAGACAAACTACAAGAGCAGAAAACACAAGAGTCCTTTAATCTTGTCTACCATAAACAACATAGGTCATGACCAGGTGATCCAGCAAAATCAGTCATCAATTATCCATTATCTGAACATTAATTACTGAAGTAAGACAGGATATAATCTATGTTACTAGATATTTGGATGTGTAACCTTGTACCATTACCATCCATACTTACTTATAAGTCAAACTATGAACAACAAAGACCCTGATCTGCATGTGTAGTTTGCAGTTGGACTTGCCTTACAAATACATATATATGGTAAACCAATCTTCAATTGTTTAGTTGGATTTCTTTGATTATCTTTTAATGACTTATTGTAAACCCCACCCCCACCTCCAAGAAAATGGCACTTGACAAAAGAAATACTGGAGAGAAGCCAAATGGGTAATATCTACATTTCTTGGAAAATAACGCTCACATGATTCATAAAAATCTGTGACAAATCCTAAATGTTTGGATAATCATGCCCAAAGATTAAAAAACTGTGCCAAATTTAAATTTTATAAAGGATTTTGACAATCCTGTCAAAATGCAGCCCTGCAATTATATATGGTACCAAATTTGAGAGAAATAATTAAATTGCATTACTACAAGTAGCAAAAGCCACACCAGGACCACATGTACCAAATTTCATAATAATATCTCAAATAATTTTGGACTTGTGCTCAGAAAATGAAAGTAACAACAGACTGGTTGATGGATAAATGGCTAGATGGTTAACCATTTACAATATCCCCTGGTATGATAAGAACACTGTTATCAGATCTGTAGCCGTGAATAAAATGAAAATGCATATACTTACTGAAATTTCCTGTTTTTCCTAAGTGGAGATCTTTGTAGAATTCTGTTCTATGTGACTTCTTCAGACCGGTACATAAACCAAAATCAGATAATTTTATATGGCCCTAAAATGCACAGAGAGAACCTGTCAATCTTTATTGATGACAATGAACTACAATGCTGTTCTAAAAATAGGATAAACAGTATACAAGGAATTGGTCTTTTTAAATCTAGTTTGAAAAAAATGAAAGACAGATCATGGTCATTTATAAATGTATCCATGTAAAGCAGATCAGCATACATTTAGATTCTCCATTTTTATCACTCATATGACTTATTGCTAAGGATTATCACTGTAAAATTATGTCAATCAGGTTGTATTTAAACAAAATTATGTCAAGAGACCCATCTAAATCATCTGTAAAAAAGCATCCTACAATTAAAAGTTGACAATCAAAAGGGGATAATTGACTTGTAATTAAATATATGTCTATTACAGGAGGATTACAATGTTATAAAGAGGTTAAACTATAAAGTATTACCATACTTTAAATACAGGTTAAATAAAGTACACACCTCTTGTAATTAACTATATAATTATATACTTGTAATTAACTGTAACTTGTAATTAAATATAGGTCTATTACAGGAGGATTACAATGTTATAAAGAGGTTAAACTATAAAGTATTACAGTTAACCATACTTTAAATACAGGTTAAATAAAGTACATACCTCTTGTGGGAGATTTACATTATAAAAGGGTTAATTGGCTTGTAATTAAATACATTCCTAAGGTCAGTATTCCAAACTAAAGAATAATTATTAAATGCAAATCACAAAACAACTGAAGAATAAGAGATTCGCATACCCTATTGTCAAGCAAAAGGTTGTCTGGTTTGATATCTCTATGTATGAATCCTAGATTGTGTATATAGTCTATTGCTAATACTGTTTCCGCTACATAGAATTGTGTCTGTTCTTCTGACAGAGTGTCCTTCTTCATTAGGAGGGTCATCATATCACCTGTAAAAAATATACAAACATACACATGAACACACATTAGAATTTATCAAATGAACAAATGCATGGGTATTTTACAAATAACATGTTTCGCTTACTGTAATTAAAACCAGGATGTGGATGTTGACCCTGATCAAATACTGTACAATGTATACTCGCTTAGGAGTCTAACAGCAAACTTCGAAGACCCAGATCTGCTGTTGCATAATGTGCCAGAAGATCTGAGTCTTTGAAGTTTGTTATGAGTAATTAGTGGCACAAACAATACAGACCCTGACCTGCTGGTGCATTATGCTACAGCAGATCAGGAACTTTGTTTTTTGCTTTTTGACTAGAATTATAAGTGATGTTTCTGCCAATCACCAAACTCTGGCTGATGCATTAAAATGCATGCTATAGCAAAAGAGGCAAATTGCAGGAACAAGTGCCAACATAAAATATGAACTAGCCAAAATGAAATGACTGCAAATTGATTTTTCATTTGTGTGGAACAATTTTTTTTTCTTTGCATTTTATTATTGACACATTACATAAATTTAAAGACCCATTGAAGAATAATTACTTAGAAAATAGGAACCCCTTTCCCAATCAATAAATTTAAGAAACAACAAAAATGTAACTGTCTGCTAAACTGTCAAAATTTATAAACCAGAAAATAAATGGATTCATAGCAATTTTTGCAAATGGTTATTAAATCTCGTATCTTTTGGCTGTTGCTTTTTCTTCCAGATCTATAGTAGCAAATGAAAATGTTTTGAACATTAGCAAAATGTAAATAAGACATCATATTTGCTACTCCATTTCCAAAACCTTTTATTGCAAGTCTGGAATATCCCAGTTTGGTAAAACAAAGTAATGTCACAGAACAGGACCACTGGACAAAGCAGAGTCCTTGAAATAATAATAATAATAATAATAATAATAATAATAATAATAATAATAATAATAATAATAATAATAATAATATTAGACTGCAGTATTCTTACTCATTTTGGTCTTTTTGCAGTATTTTTTACACAGAAGACAACATGGAAAAAAACCCTGTTCAAAACTTCCAATCAGCAATGCAAAACACCTTTATACAAGATATTACTCAAAGATATTACTCTACTCTACTCAAAAAGCAACAAGTTTCCTGCCATAAATGCTCAAATCCAGCCAAATGGCATTGTTACAAGTATTTACTTGATTGAGTGGTGTCAAACCCTGGTGTGATTCTGCTAGAAGTCTTAAGTTTACCCCAAATTTCAAAAGAGTTCTATACATCTTCACTTGCAAATTAGAGACCCCAACATGTCCATTCTATGCATACATTTTTCGTTAATCAATGCAAGACCAAGGATCTCACAACTTGCCAAATATCTATCAACCGCACATCTGCATGGATTCTCTTCATCAACTTCCTGTACCGTCATCAGTTCAAGCCGTAGAAAACTATACAACTATCCCTTAACACATAACTATTTTTACAATGCCA